GGGGAACTCCCTTTGCAGTAATTGAGGGTTTCCCTGTGTAAGGTTCCTCTCTTTTTTCCATCCTTCCTACTGTCCCTGGGGAGGGAGCGGGGACGGGGCTTGGCCTCCTCCCGTCCCACGGCAGCTCTGGGTGCCTCCTTTGCTGCACGAGGAAAGCAAGAGCTCCAGCCCCATCAGCCTTCACTTCCCTTTTCTTGCACCGGCTAACGGGTGCGTAACGACGTGCCTTGCTGCGAAGCAGCCTCCAAACCTTTCCCTCTGCCACGCGAAGAGGCTGCCCTCAGCCAAAGGCCCCGAGCAAGCTGCCAGCAGAGCACCTCGCTCGTGCTGTAGGTCAGAAAGCCCTGCCTGCACTGAGGCGGTGCTGCCTGCTGCGGGGGCCCCCCAGGCTCTCGCTCCCCAGAAGAGGTGACAGCAGCCCTTTCTGCTGTTACATCTGCCTGTCCCTGCTATCAGCAGGGACACCAGTGGGTCTGGGTGGAGAAAGGGTGTTTATCTTAGGGGAAACAAGGTGTGCAGCTGCAGCGGAGGTGGGCTGAGCAGGACCTGCTCAGCACGGTGACCTCCCTGCGCTCCAGGCCATGGCATCTCCCTCCTGCCAACCGTCCGGGTGCTTACAGGTGCATGGGTTGCCCTGGCCATGGCACAGGTAGCCCTTGCCATTGCACGGTGACGCTGGTGTAGCACGGTGACCCTTGCAACACCCTCCTACCCCTGGCCATAGCACGCTATCCCCAGAAGCAGCATGGTGACCGTGGCCATAGCATGGTAATCCTTGGAATAGCATGGTGACCCTGGCTGTGGCAAGGTATCCTGGCCATACCGTGGTGTCCCCAACCACAGCACGCTGTCGCCAGCCATAGCACAGTGACTGTGCCTATAGCATGGTGACCCTGGCTGCAGCACGGAGACCATGGCCATAGTGTGGTGTCCCCAACCACAGCATGCTGTCCCAGCACGGTGTGCGGTGATCATGGCCATAGTGTGGTGCCCCAAAATATGGTGACGTGACCATAGCC